TAAATGTTAACTGCTATTTTGGTGTATGGGCACTAGAGTTTTCCATCTCTGGGTATCATAGTTTGTCATGGTCCTATCTTCTTCCCTAATCTTGCTTTTTTTTTTTTTTTAAGATTTTATTTATTTGACAGAGAGAGAGAGAGAGCAGAAGCAGGGGGAGCGGCAGGCAGAGCAAGAGGGAGGAGCAGACTCCCCGTTGACCAAGGAGCCCAATGCGGGGCTTGATCCCAAGACCTTGGGATCATGACCTGAGCTGAAGGCAGACATTTAACCCACTGAGCCACCCAGGCACCACCTTAATCTTGATTTCTGAATAAAATATTCACTGTTTACTGCTGCTGCCTCTCCTTTTTCTACTCATTCTTCTTGCTCCAAGTAGAGAGATGATGGAGGGATTACTGACAACCATAGGCACTTGCTTGATGCCTCCTTCTCTCCCACCTCTGCAGATCTGAACTCCTGTCTTTGTTAGCCCATCTTCTGTGAGTCCCACTGCTTTCACTTTCCAATGTCTGTCACCACTCTTGCCGACACAGCGTCTTCTCTCTTCCAGGTTTCTTCTTCTCGTTCCTGGTTGTTTCTTCCAGTCTCTCCCCCCAGTTTTTGCCTCTTGTACAAATAGCCTGACTTTTGTTGATACTGATTTTTCTTTTTGCCAGGACATTAGATCTGAATTTTTTTTTTCTTTTTTGCTATGCTTATTTGTTTACTGGGGTCTTGGAGTTCTCTTTGTTGGATATATATCTATACATATCTATATATAATATACACATGATATATATGTGTATATATGCACATATACATATTTTTAGTATACTATGTCTATATTAAATTTATATATTCTGTTTGTTTCCTCCTGGGGAACGGGAGCATTTAGGTAATGCTTCCTAATTTGGAACTACTTGAAAAAGCTGGACAATAATAACAATAATAAATAATAGTAATCACATCACCACCACAATGAGAGCAGTGACAATGAAAATAGCACTGCAGTCCCTACTATGTTGGTCAGAGTCAGATCTCAATTACATCTCACCCTGCCACTACGGGAGTAGACAACATCCCCACCTGAGAGGTGAGGAAACGCAGGTGTGGAGAAGTCAAGAGCTGGGCTGAAGGCCCACAGACAGCAACAGCAGGGCTGTTCAACAGGCAGTCTGACTCTAGAACCTACACTGTTAACCAGAGAGCAAGAGTTCACTGGGCTGTTCATCTAGCTCTACTATGTTGGACAGAAGCAAAGAGGGGATGGCCGCAAATCTTCTTTAAATCAGCACAACACAGTAAGCACACATACCACATTTCAGTTTGAGTCATTTGGGTTACTAGAGTATTTCTTCTACTGTTATGAAATTCTAGTAGCTAAATATCTGAATAACTAATTATTGTACCTTACATTTTAAAGGTGAAAAGATCTTGGGGGGAAAAAAAAGCTAGGTAAAACACTCCCAAATCACTAAAATACATACAGCTTCATCCGGGATTCTAAGAAATTTTAATAGCGCTAAGATGAGATTGACATAAGCAAAAATCACTGTTATTCATTAAGGAAAAAAGAATTGGGAGAATTTTGAAAATAACTGAAGACATTATAGATATTTTTATATTAAAACAAGATATAGTGAGAAGATACTAAAAGGCCAATAGACTCCCACAACTGGCTATACAAAATCATTTAATAATAGTGAAGCATTTTTCATAACACACTCGATATTTATGAAATACATATTAATCAGAACTTAGTTATCCAAATCTGGCCATAAGGAGTTTATAACGTATTATATATCATTATCCATCATCACACTAGCATGTTTCAAGTTAATAGCACAAAATTATCTGGCTTGATCTGTGGAAGTCATTTTATATCTAATAATCTAAAATTGAGTCAAGTACCATTATAGAAATACCCATATAAAATAATATCTCAGGCATGGAAAATGGATTCTGAAATCCCACTGGAAAGGCCATCCAACCAAAGGCTGCACAAAAACACAAAAAAGTTTTAATGCAATATCCAACATGCCCAGATGCAATGATACCTACGGGTAGAGAAGCAATGCTATATTTCGTGCTGCATGTGTCCTTATTTCTTTTTTAAAATAGACAGTTTTTCCTTCTCCAAACTAACCGTCTTTTCTCCTCCTCCATTTCCATACTTCCCTCTCTTCTAACACTATGCTTATACTCTGATAGCCGGTTAGTCCCCTTAGGGACTGTTTCTGCCGCATAAGCTTTCAATCTGAGAGGAGAGAAAGAATAAAAATAACTTTCAAGTGCATTACTTCTCAAACTCCCTGAGATACCAGACAAGTTTCTCCCCCTAATCCCTCCAGGACTGACAATTTAGCAAAATAAAATAGTAATGTGTTACAAAAGAAGGAGATGAAAAAAGAGAGAGAGTATAAGTCCCATTTCTTAAAATTATTATTTGATTTAACCAACATGAGATTTACTATTGACCTACTCTATAAGTTTCTAAACACTTAACTTGAAATTTCTGTACTTCACTCATTATGGATAGGTAGCCAAGAGGCTGCAGATGGGCTTGGGCCCGGGAACCACACACACTGAGGTAGCTCTCATTCTCAGGTGCTTCACCTGTTTCCTTTTCACCTTCAGGACCCAAGGACCTTCTCCTCAAGGAGACCTGGAGGCTCAGTAGAGAATGGGACCTACCATGGTGCCCTACGTATTTCTCTCATAGCTCTCAGGAGACTCTGCCCTTCACAAATGAAAGTTCTACCAGCAAACAGACCTTGTTTGTCTTACAATTTGTTTCATTACTAGGGCTTAGGACTATTAACTTCATTAATAAAGCCTTTTCATCACTTTTCCTTTTTATTCCTTTACTCAACTGATATTCAGCACATGCAGAAACATAATTCTTTCCTAAGGCAGCTTTAAAGTTCTGGAATCAGGCATACAGTAACATCCTTCTAATAATACATACTATCTGTTGTAAGATGGTTTTTATTTTATAGCCACCACATATATCAAAACTTTATAATTCAGGTTTTTTTTAAGAGAGAGAATGCAAGAGAGGGATGGGGTGAGGGGCAGAGGGCGAGAGAGAGAATCTTAAGCAGGCTCCACACCTAGCACACAGCGAGATGCGGGGCTCGATCTCACCACCCTGAGATCATGACCCAAGCCAAAATCAAGAGCTGGACGCCTAACCAATCGAGCCACCCCAATGCCCCCATAATTCAGGTATTTTTATACCTAAGGCAAAACCAAATATGAAAAGATTAATGGATCTGGTCCCATAAAATTTTAGTTTACTGAACAGAAAAAAAAAACACTTAAAAATGATAAGCTGGAAATTTATCTATAAACTATTACAAAAGTTTAAGAATCTTAATAAAAGAAATAAGACAAAGATGAATACTGCCATGAAAAGATTTATCGTCAATTAAAAAGTGTATATGAAAACAAAAAAATCTTGTACCAACTAAAATGACACTTTTTAAAAAGGTATTATCCAATGTGTACGTGCTAATATGTAGCCCTTCCTTGTGTAAATATATAACAAATCCTTAAAAGAGTTTAAAACAGTTTACTTAGCAATTCACACAAATTCATTCAAAGGAAATAATTAAGAATGCACGTAAAATATTCATGGTATTGCTCTGGATGTCTAATAAAAGGGAGATTAGTTAAATAAGATATGCCTATGAAACTACACAGTCATTAAAATGATGCTGTAGAATGGAATTTATTGATGTGAAAAGATGTTTACAATGTATTTACAATCTATTGTTACTGAAAATAACAGGTTGCAATACTATATTATACAATATGGTCCCATACTGCCTATCTAGAACATATATCAAAGTAATAATATACATATGAGATCTTTAATTATTTTTGATTCTCTTTATTTTCTAATTTACCTGCAATAAACAACTATTTTAATGTAATGAAGAATAAGATAAAAGATATTAAAAAGGTAAAAATACAAAAAGAATGCCTTCAGTCAAAAAGTAGTGATAAGGGATTTAATTCAACTACTGGAGCTAGTAAGAGGTCCATTGTGATTGAAAGGATTTGTAGTAAAAACAAGCTATTAGGAGAATATTTGAATTAGGAGACCCACTTTCAGGTATTTTACAGGCACATTTGCATGATAATGGTCTGCTAATCACACTCATGCCTATGTTTTCCTGAAAACAGTATTGACAATGTTCAACTTTCAGCTCTTCTTCCATCTGACTTGCATCTACATTATTGATTTGTCTACAGTTTCAAAACCAGAGCCCAGGACCGGGTTCTTAGAAGCAGTATCTCGAAGGTGCATGGAATGGTTGTCAATTTGATCTCCTGGACACTGGTAGGTCATTTAGTCAATGCCTCTCACACACTCTACTTGTAGAGCTATGATAATGACAATGAAGACAAAAGCCTTTTCCAGAAGTTTCGCTGGCCACCCCAAGTGCCTGCGGTTTGAGCACGTCTCACTCTCCAGCCTCTCATGTCATTCACCGTGGGTTGGTCATTGCTTTTTTTTTTTTTTTTTTAAAGATTTTATTTATTTATTTGAGAGAGAGAGAATGAGAGATAGAGAGCACGAGAGGGAAGAGGGTCAGGGGGAGAAGCAGACTCCCCGCTGAGCAGGGAGCCCGATGCGGGACTCGATCCCAGGACTCCAGGATCATGACCTGAGCCGAAGGCAGTCGCTTAACCAACTGAGCCACCCAGGCGCCCTGGTCATTGCCTTTTTAATGGACAGAGGCAAAAGCAGAAAACTTCAACTTCACGGAGAATTTTAGAGCTTTTTGAAAAGAACTTCAGAGAGGCTTCAGTCTAACCCCTTGATCTCATAAATATGGAAACTGAGGCCCAGAAAGTAAGTGAAGAGCCAAACCAGAACCAGGCTATCTTGGCTCTAAGCCCAGTCCTTTTTCCAGCCCCATCTACTACTTACACCGAACACTGGGTTCTACTCTAGAAAGTCACTCTCCGACCCCATCATGATTACTGAAAAGAGAATGTATACAGACCTTGCATCTGGTAGCTGTACGGTGCCTGTCCGGGTTGAGGGGTACCGAAGCTTGTGCCGTAGCTGAGAAATCCTGTCTGTCCAGGTGACTGAGACTGTGACAATCCACCTTCAGTCTTGATGCCTGCCCACAATGCACCTAAATCAGTTAGTGATAGCTTATCTATCTGTCCATCTCCAAAGCTGGTCAATACACCAAAACACTCCCACAACTCTTCAGGCACAAATGCTTCCCGATACCATCTCAGTAATCAAGGGTATACAAGCCTAGAGTGGAATACCCTAAACTAGAACTTCAATTAAAACAAACAAACAAACAAACAAAACAGGAGTATTATATATTTGAGCAACTATTCACATTGTCCCTTCCTGTTTTTCTCATTTACATTTTCTATAAAGTTTAACTCCTATCATTTCTAAATGTAGTCTTGTTTTATAAGAGGTTAAAAGAGCATTTCCTTTATAGTCAAGAGATGGCCATAATTAAACTTTAACTAGATTATTCTAAAAGTCACTATGTTGATCAGTGTCAAAATTCTCTTTTCTAGAAAGAGATTAGTCTCTAGCCTCACAGCATTTTTCTCCTGTTTTTTTCCTTACTCTTTCTGCCCAAAACTGATGTTAGCACACGACTCATTCTGAAGTCAGAGGAAGCGATATTGGGCACAGAAATAAGCAACCCAGGGGAAAACCTTCTCCCAAATACCCAGAGCCTACCGGAAAGTAAACACAAAGAAAGGAGAATATTACAAACAAGTGAAGCTGACCAGTAGTTCCCTTTTTGTCCCTTGTAGTTTCAAGTATTTATCCCAATTTTATTAAGCGTAGCCTAAAGTACACTTTCTTTCTCATCATGATAATATAAAAATAATGTGTTTATGGCCCCCAACTACTTCCCGAAGCACCAGGCTGACATCCAAATTGCAGAACTTGGGTTTGGCAGTAACGTTGTGTAGGGCTCAGTACTGGATTATAATTAAAGACAGTCATGAAAGTTCACAACTGTCCTTAATTTCCACAGAAGAAAGAAAAATTTCTGCCAAGCGAATTCACATGTTTGAATAATTTTACTTTGCACTTAAGATAAATGATATCTTTGGGATCACAGTAGTCTCACTGTTTATTTCCATTTTAGGGGAATTTCATCAGTAGAATGAAGTTAGGTAACTTTCCTAAGGCAGTGGAAGAATCTGACTCTTGGCCGAGAGAGCCTACAATAATTCCTGGAGTATCTCTAAATAACCTCATAATGACCTTAACATTTAAGTCTTCACATAACCTTAACATTTTTTTTTAAGTGTGATCTTTTTCCCTGTACAGGCAATCCCAAACCAATGAATAACCCATATTTATAAATGGTCCCTGGAAAAACACCTGCCCAAAGCAGGTGGTTTGATGGCTCTAGAAACTCCCTTCCTTTCCTTGTCACCAACAGGGATTTCCCCTCCTCTCTCTCCATTTGAAACTATTAATCTGCTTCCAGTCTTGCTTGTACCACCTCTGGTATTAGCCTGGAGGTCCAATCTTTGTGCTAAAAACAGATAAGGAAGAGCAAGAAGAGGCAGAGAACACCCTCATCTGCACCTTTTTCAAGGGCTTCCACCCACAAGCTTGCAAACTCATCTTATCGTTGAGCTCCACGCAGATCCAGAGACTGGGACGAGTTCTTCTTTCCCACTGATCTATTTTTCACACCATGAAAAGATTTGCCTATCTTTTCTTACAGAGTCTAAGTAAAAAGTCAGGGGGCACAAATCCTTGGAGTCTTCTTAGACCATCTGGACCTTGACTGTCAGCCGTGAAAAACCCTAATATATGTGTTCTTCCTTCACAAGCAAGCAGAGGGGAGAAGGTGGTCCTATTTCTCAATGCACTGGCCCAAGAAAACTGGCCAGAATTCCTGGCCAGAAGCGCTGGGAGCATCTCTCTGTACTCAAGGCCCAGGAAGAGAAGAAAGAGATTGGGGAAAATAATAAGGACTCAGAATCATTCCCAGGAGATTTACAAGCACAGGCAGCCCTGAGGCCAAAGCCCTTGACCAAAGTGCCACGCTCTTACCATCTCCTGACTTATCACATTAAAATGCCGTTCCTCACTCTACTAGTTGTGATTGGAATCTCAGAGCCTCTGCTCATCTTCCTCTCCTGGAACAATTATTGCAGACAATAGGGACATCCACTAATGGTTCAGAACTGGAACCATCCTAGATGGCAGGCAAGAAAGGGGCAAAGGCCCTACCATGACTCCATGGGGAGAAGAAAGAACAAGAGAGGTGTGCGTGCGTGGCAGCCGAGGCAGTGACATGAATGGCAGCTTCCCTGGGCAGCCCTGGTAAGGCTACAGTAGTTTAGTATTGTTCAGGCCGGGAAGATACATTTACACTTCAAATAATCAGCTTACCAATCCATTTTGAGAATATAAATTGGGGACCCCCTCAACTCACATTACAGAGTTGAAGGTATGCAATTCAAATCAGTGATCCTTTTCTCTCTTTCTGCACAAGAACTGTTTAAAGTAAATTGCAGATAAATTTGATCTACATCTAATATTACTTTCAAAAATCTTGAGTAAAAGTTACGGAAATGAAAGAGAATTCTAGGAAGTCCGTTTTATGGCTGTTTCTAAAACCTGGCTTAAAAATACCTAGCTAGATAACATTTGGTTCTGGAAAGTTTTGCAATGAAACTATAAAGGGTGAAATCATATATAATTTACATTTTAATTTACATATATTTTCTAAGAAATTTATATATAGTTCATTTGGTTTGGGGTAGAGCTAGAGAATAAAAAGGAATAAAGTAATTTACTTTTCGATTATTAATGAAATGTTTAAATGCTTATTTCTTTCACTATACGGCTATAAACACAGAATTACTTATTCTAGCACTCCTTTCCCCCAAACTCCCATGTACTTTTTCTCGATCACTTGATTTTATTTTTTTTAAGGGAATGTTAATTCATATTCTTTCTATTCAAAGTGCAATTTGCTTAAAATTATAATTGCAATTCAATTGAAGAAAAGGTATCTTGAAATTGTAAGATTTCTTAAAATTAAACTTTGGGGTTTTGTTGGATTTATTTTTAACTTACAGGTATTGACCCTTTAACAATCGGGTTAAATCACACCAAGATAAAGATAATCTCCAGGTGGGAAGGAACAAATAAGGATGTGAGCTTTCAATGTTTCCTGCTTTGCCTCTTTAAAGTGCAGCCCAAGCTGTGATATATAGATCACTTTTCCTAATGGCTGATCCTGTTGAAATTTGAAAGTAGTACCACCCTCAAGTTCAGAGCAAGGGCTTGTTGAATTCTGTTTGTAGTTCCCTAATCATAGGTAGGCATCTGATAAATAGGAAATGAATCTTTACCCCCAAAGACTCCATTCACTTAAGTTTTATCACAAATATGCACCAAAATACTTTGGATTCCAGAACCAAGTGCTCAAGTGACAAATTAAAAGCTGAGCTATAAATGGAAAAAAATGAGAGCAAGAGGGCATATGAACCATGCGATCTATTTGCCACTGCTGACCTCAAGATAAGTAGCCACCACTTCTTACAGGGCTCATTTAAAAACAAGTGTATGAAGAACTTAGACACAGAAGGTGGTTAACACTTTCTAAAGTGGCCCAAGGTAACAGTCTTAGGTACCACTCCTGTGAAACGTGCACACACACAGGACTGCCCATCCGATCCCACGACTGAGGTAACAGGATTACTCACCGTACGAGGAAATTCCGTATGGCTGTCCCGGCTGTGGGTATGTGGCGTACGCCGTAGCTTGTTGCATTCCTGTGGTAAACTGTGTTTGCCCATATGCAGCCATAGTTTGTGAGGAAGGGGTAGGGAGAATATGTGGGTATGGTCTGCTATTTGTCAGAAATGACAGAAAATAGAAAGCCCATGCATTAGATGGAAACATGCAAGGTAACTGATTAACAACCATATCACAAATTGCAGTTAAAGACTGTCTCTTAGAGTATAACTTTCTAATCTAATTATACAAAGTACTGAAATACTTCAGTACCTCTTCTAGGTGACGCTCAAAATAAATTTGTGCAAACACACTGAAGTCTCTAGGAAATGCACTTTAGTTTAAATTAAGACGTAACACGTGGGCACAAAACATGACTTGAAATAAGGTAAAAGGCTACTAAGAAAAGTCATTTATTAAGAGAAAATACATCTTACTTGGAAGGATAAATCTGTGGTGGGGAGAACTGGTGAGCTGGTCTTGGGCTGAAGCTACTGCTCCCAATTGCTGGAAAAAAAAAATGTACGATAATCATAGCAAAATACAAAATATGTCTACAGCTTCGATCTATTTTTGAACTACAGGAAGACCATATGAAATTGCAGATGTTCACCCTATTTGGCCTGAAAAAATCGACACTTTGATGTGCTCAAGCTAAGAGAAAGTTAAAATATATTGAATGACCTATGGGAACTGATTAAATGATTTGAATTTCAAATTAACTCAAAGTAGTCACCGTCATCTGAAATACCTGTCAGCAGAAGTACACGAGTACAAGGCGTCCTGGCTACTGTTTGAAGGACCTGCTCAAAGAGGCGGAGGGAGGGTGAGTTTGCAGGGCTGGGCGGGACCCCAAAAGGTCACCTGGCCTATTGTGTGTGCTCGGAACACACACACCTGAGACTGGATTACAGAGAAATCCCCCCTCCCACCCCCGTCTAATCTGCTCTCAGGTGAGTACAAATAGGGCCGAGCCTCATTTGCCTGCATTGATTTAGCAACATTTTTTTAGTAAAAATGCATTCCTATAGCTCTCTTAAATTTCTCAAGTTGCAAGCTAAGCCTGTTTTTTCTTGCGCTGAAGGCAGTGTTCCTGTGCCTTTCAGTTAAATGTGCTCAATTTCAGTTAATTCCGTAAAAAAGTTTTTTTGTTTAAAGATGTTATTCAAGCATTCAAGCAGAATTTCATCTCTTTAATCAGAGTTTATTCAGTAGGTCTCAGAAAATGCACTGAAGTCTATCAAACATTCTTTTACACTCATTCTGAACTAGAGCAAAAATCCATTTTTGTGAACGTAAGACATTAAAATTTATTTATTATAAATAGGGACTATCTCTTTTATGTGTATATTACACGTTTATGTTTATATATTTATATATACACACAGCTATATGTGTTTCTATGTATTACATATAAATATATGTAAAATATATATAAAAGGATACTATATATATATATATACACACACACACACACACACACACACACACATATATTCCCCCCCCACCCCAGCCCACAGACTCTTCCTATCCCCTCTACCTAGCTAAGATGCATATTCTTTGGGTACAATTATGAGATGTAATATGTTTATTTTCTTCTTCCACTAATAATCCTGGTGTTCAGAGGCTCTATTACTCATTAACTATACCGTGTATTAAAATCCTTCTATCAGGTTCCATGCACTCAAAGTCGTATACATCTTTCATGATGTCACATCAGTACATTTATACTTCTCAAATGTAATTTTCTGTTTGTGTTTGGGAGAAGAGTGGTAGAGTTGGACCAGAATCTTAATCTATGAATAATCCTCTCCTTGTAAAGCAAGCAGGCCTAACCCAGCGACAGGAGGGTAGGTCTAGATGAGTACTACTCTTGCACGCAAGCTGCCAGACTTCTACCACGTGGCTCTCGGTTTGGCAGAACCGGGGTCCACACTGAAGTGAAGGCAGGCCAACTCGGCTGGTGTCCCCCCATCTGCGGGCACATGTTGAGTCACTGCTCTGTTCCAGGCACTGAGCAAGATGCCACAGATGCAAACATGCATAGACAAGTTCTGTCTGTCGCATGTGGGGAGGCCGACACACAAACAGCCATGAGGGGATTAGGTGAATATTGCAGTTTATAGGAGGGAAGGATTAGTGAGAGAATACTTGGACAACAGGCCTGCCACTTGCCCAGGTCGTCCATGATGACAACCTTTCCTACTCCCCTCTGCTAAGCCTGCAAAGAGGCCAAGGGCAAAAGAGATTTATCCAGCAGAGTAGCTGGAGGAGTAATACCTTCCCTGAAAAATCACAGTTAAAAATAAGTTAAAAAAAAAAAAAATGAAACAAGAACAAAAACCCAGTGCAACCCGATGATGGAAGCCATAGAAATCCCTTTTATGCTTTTCCACCTCTATCCCTGGGTTTTTCAAATTGTGAGTCAGGACCCATGAAAACATCATAAATTCAACTGCGCAGGTTACACCCAGCAATTTTTTTTTGTTTTGTTTTTTTACAAACAAACAGAATAACAGAATAGCATAAAACAGGGTAAGGTGAGTTCCGTGAAGCTTTAAGATTATATGCACAGCATAGGTGTGTACACATAGAGAGATCTGGGAGGCTGCCCAGTGTGGTAATTAAGCACAGGTTCTGGAATCAGAATTTAATTTCGGCTGACACTAAAGTTCCAGCTCCTCTGTTGTCTTGGTCAAGTTACCTGATCCCTCTAAACCTTGCTACGTTCACCAGTATGATGGCAATACTACTACCTACACCTCCCAGGATGGTTTGAGGACTAAATGGAATCGTTGACAAAGTGAATAGCACAATGTGTAGTGTTCATTAGCTCAGCTCTCCAGATTGCCACTATCTTTGCCCCCAAATTTGCCCTTCCTTCTGTATTTTTAATTCTACTCAATGGACAGCATCACCATCTGTCCAGCAAAATACTTGGAAGCAGGATTCTTTGTTCCCATTGTACCTATGGGGCATAAAAATTAAGTAACACACCCAAGCAATCAAATGGTAAAGCTGGTATTTGAACCCATGTCTGCCCGACTCTTTCCCTCAAAACATACTAGCTCCCGACCTCCCACATAGACTCTAAAAAAAACCTCAAAATTATCTCCTTCCCTCCACCCCCATTTTCATGAGTCTCGAGTCCCCCATCCCAAATCCAGATATTGCCTGTTGAGCTGTCCCTCATCCTCCATCCCCAAGCCCCTGACCTGGCTCAGGTTCTCATTAGCCTCAGCCACGTTTCCTGTATGCCACCCGTCATCCATGGCCACCGCACACTACATCCATGGCCACCAAAGTGACCTTTCTTAGAAACTTCATGTCCATTCTCCAACTTACCATGTCTCAACTGTGCTCACATTATCCCTAGGAAAAATTCCAAATTTCTTGGCAGAGTACACAAAGGGATGTAAGCATCTACCCTCCCCCTGGGTTTAGTAATCTGTAGCCTCCCTGGACTCGAGGATTGCCCATACATGCCATGCATTTTCATGTTTGGCTCAGCGGCTCTTCATACCAGACCCTCTGCCTTGTGAAGCCACCTTTCCCCTGCTTAACAAACACTCCTCTACTGGGACTAAAACATCATTTTCTCTTTAGGATAATGTCTTCCTTCTCTGTACTTTCTTAGAGTGTTGTAAACATTGGCAATGTAGCACTTAACCACACTGCATTATAGTTAGCGTGTGTAGTGTATAGGTGTTAGTTTCCTCTGCTAACCAGGAGCTTCTGGGGCCCAGGACCTCTTGCTCTCCTTTATGTGTGTGGTAAGTAATCAATAAACAATATTTGTTTAATTACAATGTGAGCTTTAGGTCATAAGCAAAGGAGATTTTTTTTTTTTTTTAAACCCTGATGATATGAAGGGTGGTTAAATTATTTTAAGTCCTATGTAAACATATATCATAAACCTGATTTAGCTCTTCGGCAATATAATTGGGAGTGAATAGTATTCTTTATAAAATATATGTGAGTGTGAATATATTTGGATTCACATCCAAATATATGGGGATTCACATCCCCATAAAATATATAGGATGTGAATTTTTAAGCCATCATGCAGATGCTGCCCAAATATCTTGCTACTAATTACCTAACTATGTGCCCCTAAAATGATCAAATATATAATGCCATATAATAAGCCATATCTTTTGGGATTTCCCTAAATCCAAATCTCTACAATTTTGTGTGGCCTAAAGTCAAAAATCTTCCATCTCATACCTCAAGTACTTCTCCTCCTAATTGCCTAAACACCTTTAACTTTTTAAGCAATAATTTAGGAATTCAGATTAATTTTCATTTCATGAGACCAGAATAACCTAAAGCCAAAAAGGACGCTCCCAGATCATTCATCATTCATCAAGGTAAATAAAACGGTTATTTTACCATTAGTAAACTCCAAATTACGTATGCCAGAGCCTTGGGAACATATGGGCAACTAATACCTCTCTGTTTTAGCACATTTGTTTCCTATTATTCCATTCTTTCTCTTATTTTTAACATAGAAGTTAAAGAAGTTCCCCAAATCTTGTAGTAGGGAGGGAGGGGAGGACCCAAGCTTGAGAATCTACTGAGAAGGTCAATAGAAATCCCCAAAATAGCAGGTTCTCAGTTCACTGCTCCCATCTCGTGAATGTCAACATCACTCTGTTGGACAAGCAGGTCAAAAGCCTCAAAGTTTTGACTCTTCTCTTTCCATTTTATCATAAATTCAGCCAGCTCTCCCTTCAGAATATGTCCTCTACCTGACAACTCACTGCTCCCATTTACCCCTCTGTTCCAGTCACCAATGTGGTGGCCACCAGAGGATGGCGGTCAGGACGACCCACCCCCTCCCACCCGACCTTGCCTCCTTCCCGCTCTTCTCTACTCTTTTCTCCTAATGGAATCCTTACACATTCAGTCCTGCCTCAGGGGCTCTTCTCAACACAGCCTTCTCTCTTCTGAGCCAGGGCAACACCGGTCTCCCTGTTTCTATTTATCCTCCTCTCCACTCTTCTCCCATAAAGCGTTTTCCACACAACAAAGGGTGACCTCTTAAAAAAATACAGATCATGTCACCACTGCCCCCAACTCCAAGCCCCATTATCCTCCTGTTACATTTAAATGAACCCAAACTTAAAAATACATACATACATACATAAACCCAAACTTATTCCCTCACTTCACTGAGATCTCTGCTCATATGCTCACCCCTCAGAGAGACCTTCCCTCTACAAGAGACCTCCATCCACTCTTCACTACATTATTTGATCTGCTTTCACTTTTTTGGTAGCCTAGTTACTTACACTACCACTTACCTCTTTCTTATCTTCTGGGTCCCACAGAATGAAAGCTCCATGAGGGCAGGGACCTGATCTACTTCATCACTGCTGTATTCCCACTGCCTAGAACACTGCCTCACATATAGTAGGAGCTCTATACAGAATTGTTGAATGAATGAGTCAGACCCCAAAAGTTACATCTTTTTAGGAACAATTAAAAGACAGAAGTCCTATTTG